AACATTTTACACACACAAACACACACACACACACACACACACCCACACACACACACACACATATTTATATAAAAGGAGTGGAACTTGTAATGTCTACTGTAATGAGAAAATCAAATGTAATGATGACTCCAGTCATATCTGGCCTCCTAATAAAAGTTAATTTATTTATATTCACAGAGTGGGTCGCCTCATGGGGGCCGACAATGCGCAAACCGTCTTTTGGCGTTAAAATAGTACAGTCAGGATTTACTAAAGATGCGCAGTGAAGAATTAGCACTGAAAAGGCGTGGACAATTATTTTTGCGCCTGACCTTATTGAATATGCATTTGCAGAAGTTTCCCTTTCAGATGCAACATTTATGGGAGGAAAGTATTAAAATTAATCACGCAATGCGATTTACTACCGTTTGCACTCTTCAAATTACTGGAGGAGTGGAACTTGTAATGTCTACTGTAATGAGAAAATCAAATGTAATGATGACTCCAGTCATATCTGGCCTCCTAATAAAAGTTAATTTATTTATATTCACAGAGTGGGTCGCCTCATGGGGGCCGACATGTTGGGATCACATGACCAGCCAAATGTGTTATTGCTGACAAAATTAAAAAAACTCATCAATTTTTGCCACTAATTTTGTTGACTAGATTAGCAGTGGTCTCCAGCCATGCTAGTCTTTTCTGCAGGGTATCACATAATATGCAGCGCTGTGCAAAATTGAATTAACCACTGAATACAAAAAGTAGCTGTGGTCTTAGTTTTTGTTATATTTGTAGTCTCTTTTTATGCTATTTAATTGTTTCCTGCAATGTAAGCAAACTTAAGCATTCACAGTCCAGCTCTATCAATGGAGCTCATAAAAGAGAATTAGATGATATCTCTGGTGGGCGCTGTCCACTAATTACAAAACACTGAACAAAGTAAGTAAAAAGTAAGTGGTCTCATTAATCATGGCTTTAGACAGAGCCACTGAGTACTCATTTAATGCACTGTGTCCCGTTGACTCGGAAGGTTAATTCTGTCTTTGTGGAGTTGGGATACAGTGTCGCTGTTGACAAGATTAAGGTCATCGAGCCATGACTAAAGGTATTATGGTCATTTCGGATGATCCTGCTGCATATTCTGAAGAGAGTAGCCAGTACAGAAAGTGAGACACCTTTTTACTTAAAGGAACAGTTCACCTAAAAATGTACACACCACAATTTCAAATACAGAGTTCTGGCATGAAACTCTAGATGGCGCAGTCCGATAGGTCTAACTCAATCTGACCTAATGACATCATTATCACATGGCCCAGCTGATTGGTTCTCTCCTGTATCGGTAGCCAATGAGCTCGCTGCTCAACATTCAAATATATGACTAGTGCTTGCTGTAGCAGTTGCAGCTTACTTCAGAAACCCTTCACCTTCCCCAGTCCCACCTGTATAGATCTGCTACGAGGTGATTCATGTATGCTATATGGGGGTTATATCATGTATGTTATACTTGCAGCAGCAATATTTCTTACATGCTCACAGTAGCATGTTGTGGATGGCAGTAGCAAGTCTCGGTACTTGCAGCAGCAGCGTAGCAGATCTATTCCGCCAAGACCAAATACATTAACATTAACATGTACATTACTATTACCATTGCACTAGTGTTGTTAACACTTGATATTTCAGAATTGATTATGCACATAAATGATATCTGGTAGTTAATCGTCACTTTTTAATATCCAATCAATTTCCTATTTTTTTTTTGTTAATCGAAATTTTAAAGTATGTCAATTTATTGAAGTAAAAAAGGTTGCAAACAAAAATTCACAATGATTTTAAATTTAAATGTAATTATACTTCATGAATGTATATGTTGTTTCCTCTAATGTAATAATACATATTATTTTAATAGTAATCTATTGATATTAAAATATTGTATAAAACATACAAATAAATGATTTATACAGGGACTTCAAAACCCTTCAAAAGGTTGAGATCAGTAATGTTTTTTTTTCTCTCCTTTCATTTTTGGAAGAAATAATAATTTTATTCAGCAAGGATGCAACTAATCAAAAGTGAAAGTAAAGAATTTATAAAAACCGTATACAGTATATTTCAAATAAATACTGATCATATACTGTTTTCAACATTGATATTAATAGAAAAACTGTTTCTTGAGCAATATATCAGCATTTTAGAATGATTTCTGAAGGATCATATGACACTGAAGACTGGAGTAATGATGCTGAAAATTCAGCTTTACATTACAGGAATAAATTGCATTATAAATATATATTAAAATGGAAAAGTTATTTTAAATTGTAATAATGTTTCATTTGTAATAATGCAAATAATGCAAATAAATACAGCCTTGGTGTGCATAAGATCTTTTTTATAAAAAAAAAATAAAATAATAATAATAATAATTAATTAATTAAAAAAATAGCAGTGCGAATACAGGACCCAATCCAAAACTAATAACGTCATGCTCTGCACTAAAAATAAAAAATAAAAAATAATAATAATTAATTAATTAAAAAAATAAAAAAATAAATAAATTAAATTAAAAAAAAATTACCAACCTTAAAAAAAATTACCAACCTCAGACTTTTTAATGGTAGTGAATGTGTATATGACTAATATAATATAATATAATAGAATAGAATAGAATAGAATAGAATATTGTCTTTTTCTCACAAAGCTATTGCATGTTTCACAAAATTTGAAACAGAGCTCAAGTCTTATACGGAATTTCTGGGAAACCTGTTTGAAAACAGTCATATTGTTGCAGTATAAGCCATGGCTGATGGGAACTACGACATTAATGTTATATTACTGTCATCTCAAAGCAGCAGAATAAGATCAGGAGCAATTTAGTTCAAGAACTGCTGAGCTAACATTTCAGAAATACTCTTCATGCTGCCGAGAGCTTCTACGTTCAGTGCATTTCAGAAAACAACATATAGCTTACCTCTGCAATAGTGATGCAGTCCTGATAGAGGGTGTGCAAAATATGGTTTGCCAACATGAGGTAGACAAGAGAGTCCTCATCTACATGGAGACCAAAGTATTCAGTATAATCCCCGGAAAATCCTGATCCTGAGCATCAGGGAACATGTAAATGAAATCAGATTCCACCTCTGATGGTTACATTTTAATAAAAATTAATTAGCAATTACACAAAACTCATTTTAAAAAGAGCTACGAAGAAACCAACTCGCAATAACCCTTTTTTTGTGAATCTAATGTCATGTTTCATTAAAACAAAGTAGGATTTATTCAAAGCGATCTTTGAAAACCTACCGAAAATCATTAGCAGCATCACTGGTACAAAATTAAAAAGAAAAGAGAAAAATGCCAGGATAACCTTTGCCGCACTACTTGTGTAATTAATTTCCTGCTTGAAAGAACTTGTATCACATGCTTTTCCTGCTTAATTCCGTTCATTTATGAGAGTTTACGTAACATGCTCGCAGTCTACTGAAACTGCCCTTGGAATGGTTGCTCTTCCAATACGCTTTTCTACCTGTTCTACAATAAGAGCCTGTGACATTTACAGGGGAAGAATGTTATTAATGTAGAGTAATTCTAAGTAAAGAACATTACGTGCTTAATTTTCCATGGACATACCGATCCCGTGATGATGGTAGAGCATAGACGTCACTCCATCAAACCTGAATCCATCAAATCTGTACTCCTCCATCCACCAGCGCAGGTTTGACAGGAGAAATCGCAACACCTCCCAGCTACACACACACACACACACACACACACAAACATAAACAGTTATTATGCAACTCTGACAGGGATATATCTATTATGTGAGTCATTGCTGAAACATTTTGCACTATAGAAATGAATGATACTTCAAATTGTGCGGCTATCTCATTAAATTTATTTATTTGGAATATGCTAATATACTGCTCAATAACTATTTCTTATTATTACTCAGTGAAACATGTTTCTTTATTAAGTTCATAATATATCACATTATGTTTTGTGTATCATTGACGGTGCTAATGAAAACTTAAAAAAATAAAAAATAAAAAAAAAGATGTTGACAACTTATACAAGCTAATCTTTTATTACTCATTGTGCATTAATAATACTGAGCTAACAACAACAGTTTAACATAAACAGTTAGCAAAAGTGAGTCGTCAAAAAATTAGATGATTTTAGTCTTTTATGACTAGTCGCACAATGTTCTGGAATGTTCCAGAAAGCACTAGAATATTACAGAATGTTACAAAAACTTCTAGAATGTTCCCATCCTTGCAAAAGCAAAATATCTTAAAAAAAAAAACTAAATGAGTACAAAAACATATCTGTAACTAAACCAATGTTTCATAATTAATAATAAAAGTTCTAAAATTTAACTGACCTAAATATTTACCAAAATATTGATGCTACATGAAAATAATAGTACAATAATACTTAGCACCATAGAATTAAAGAAGAAACGTACAAAAATTAAGTAAAACAATTTTTTTTTACATTGTGTTATCAATGTTAAAAACCATTTTGCTTAATATTTTTGTGGAAATTTTTATTTTTTTTATTTTTTCAAGATTTGTTGATTGTTGATTTTTTCGAAGATAATTTTTTGTAACATTATAAATGTCTTTACGGTTATGCATATTTTACTTATATGTCTTACTGACCCCCGACTTTTAAACATACGTTTATTTTATTAAAAATAATAATTTTGATTAGTAACCCAATAGCAAACACCTAGAATGCCCAGGCTGCTGCATGGCAATATTCCTTAGCATTGTGGCAGTGATTTTTACAAAGGCAAACACAATTAAGAATTTTTGTCATATTCTAGAAAACTGAAAAATCTGCTTACAGTATATAATTCATAGCAGATCATTAGTTATTCACATATTTAATTAATATATTTTAATATGAACTTCTGAACTGTTAAGCATGTTTGCTTATGACTCCTGAGTGAACATTATTTTAAAGCAAGGTTCTTCAGCAGGAGTCCGCAACCGTACCCCAGGGGTCCGCCAATTATTACTGTTTGATGAAATGTAAATATGCGTTAAACCAAAATACAATATTAAATTAACCTCAGCAAAAGCTTAAAGTTCAGCTAAATGTTTCATTGTACCTCCTGCAATGCATTTGGTATCATGCAGTTTAATGAATCTAAACATCAATAAGGATTATTTTAATGGCTTTGCAATGCAGCACCATAAAGTACTGTATATAAATACATTAATATGGAAATTAATGCATGTTATTATAAGCCAGGCTTAAAACGCAGTACTCTGATTTGTACAATATGTTCTGCTCTGTCTCTCTGCTCATCAAGGGGTATCCCAGTTTTAAATTGTTACTCCTAAAATATCCTAAACTTTTTAATAAGACCATAATTCAGTTTACAATAATCAAAGGAACAGTTCCAGTTACACAGTGACGCTGTGCACCAAACTTTCAGGAAGACCTGAGTTGTGGCTCCAGGTTCTCAGGCACCAGGCAATATAATTAATCCAGCTGACATCATCACATTCTGGGATGTGTTGCTTCCCAGATGGCGAGAACTCAGCGCTGCCTGGAAGTGCAGTAGTACTGCATTCACAGAGTTAGGATTTCACATGATACGGAGTGAAAGAAACCTCCTGATAGTGCAGCGAGCATCGATCACAGCTACGCTCATGATACAGCAGCATACACACTATTTCAGCTTAGAATGTGACTTTTTCCTCTTAATATGTCTCTCCTAGTAAGGAGGTTCTTAAATTTGGAGGCGCCAACAGAATATTCAAATATTATGTCACAAAAAGGGAAATTTGAGTGAGTGACTATAATTCCTGGAATCGTTTGTTTGCATTAAGACTAGAGATGGGAAGATCGAGTTCATTTTCAGAACCCCTTGTTCAGCCACTATTCAGCTCATAACCGGCTTATTACCTAAATAAAATGTGCATAATTGCAATAAAAAATACAAAAATTCACTAATCTCTTAGCTGATGTTTTTTTTTATTATTATTGAAAAATCCATTCCATTTCAAATGTTCATAAACCAGACAGAGTGTATTAATGTAGGGGTGTAAGTAGGGGTGTAACCCCGGTGTCCTGGCCAAATTGCCCCCCTGGCCCTTGTCAATCATGGCCTCCTAATAATCCCCATCCACTTGATTGGCTCTATGACTTTCTCTCCTCTCCACCTGTAGCTGGTGTGTGGTGAGCGCACTGGCGCTGCTGTCCTGTGGCTGCCGTCGCATCATCCAAGTGGATGCTGCACACTGGTGGTGGTTGAGGAGAGACCCCCCCACATGATTGTAAAGCGCTTTGGGTGTACAACAATACACAGTAAAGCGCTATATAAATGCATCATTCATTCATTCATTCATTCATAATGATATACGATTTTAGTTTAATATTATGATTTTTTTTTAGAATTTCCTTTTTCATTTTAATTTTAGTTAAAATGTTAGTATTTTTTATTAATCATTTGTATTATTATATTTTTATTTCAGTTTTAGTTTTAGTACTTGCACTTCTTTTAGTACAACTTAATAAATAAGAAATGTTGCCTTGTCAACTAGCTAAAACTTATTTATTTATTTATTTAAATTTCAGTTAACATTTATTCTATTCCAAGTACGGTTTTAGTTTTAGTTTACAATACTAACTCTGATCCGACACCGCAAATCAATATCAAATTCCAATCCGAATTTTACATAACAGCGAGTTGATACATGTTTTACAGTATGACTAAACATCCAAATCCAGTCATTTCAACAAGAATCTGCAGATCGAGAATTTTGCATGAGGATGAACGAATTTTCCCCATTCAGTGGGTTTTTACACAACACCATTTTTTTAATGAAACCTTTTATGTTTCTTGGCGATTGATTTACATGCCAATTGCATTTTGGGAGTCTGAAAACGCAAACTTTTAAAAATTGGTTTCAAAGTGCAAGTTTTTGAAAATGTTAATGCTATCATCTCTGTTAGACTACAAAAACTTACATTTTGGAAAACGGTGACATCATGTGCATACATTTTAAATGTTCAGTCAATAAGTGTGTATGTGCGTATTGTTTCTTTTTTTACAAAGTGACATTGCCAACTACTGGCCTGGCATGCATAATACAGTGTTTTTAGTCATACTCGCGGATCCATGTGAAAGGAATCGTTTTGATAATACTGTCGCGGAACTTTTCAAAAAACCAAAGGAAAAACTTTTCCGTTTTTAGTACAGCGCAGAGGAGAGCGCAAAACAAAACACCGATCTTGAATTAGAAGTACAAAACGAGGATTTATAAAGAAAAGTGTCTGAGGATTTCGATATAAGCCAAGAAGAGACCTTCCTTAGCTTGAAACAAAACTTGGTTCTCGCAAGACTAGCATATTCTCACCGGAGCTTATGCTCCGCCTTCATCCTACGTCATCCACTGGAAGGCCACTCTCTCGTGAACGCGTGTACGACAGTTAGCGGAAGCTAGAGATTACGGTTTATAAAGATTTAAATATGGATATTACTCTTACACAAATGCATCGATTCACTTCATAAGGCCCTTATTAACCCCTCGGAGCCGTGTGGAGCACTTTTTATGATGGATTTATGCACTTTATTAGGCTTCAAAATCTTGACCACTATTCACTGCCATTATAAAGCTTGGAAGAGCCAGGACATTTTTTCATATAACTCAGATTGTATTTGTCTAAAAAAAAAAAAAATTCATATATACCTAGGATGGTTTGAGAGTGAGTAAATCATGAAGTAATTGAACCATCCCTTTAAGAACAGACAGTGTATGTCAGTGATGGTATGTAGGGTCCCAAGAATTTAGATACTTTAAAAATCCACCACAACCCAAAAGGCTGCGAACTCCTGCCTCCAATAGCATTTTAATCTATGCAGATGTTTTCCCCACGTATATTTTTGAAAAGCTGTACCTGCAAGTGTGACTCTCTCCATCCATGTTTGAAACCTAGAAATGAATATCAATGCGCTCTATCTCCTCATCGTGTACCCCAATCAGATTCCTGCTGCATGCAGCTATGAGCATAAATTAACCGTCAGGATGAGAAATTGGAATCAACTCATCCCTAAAGTATGTCTGTATCCCGGTGTTTGGATGATATGTGTAGGCACTTGTGACCAGCCCCCTCCAGCTGAGCATCCTCAACAACTTGGAGTAATGGCCACGTTGCCATAGAAACTTTGTTAAAATGCGAGCACGGGGGTCCTCTGGCACCGTGCGAAGCACACATGGAACAAGGTAAAGCACCTCAACCGTGTGAAGCCAAATTAAAGAGCGCGAAAGAACACCATCATCTCGCCTAGAGTTTTATAAATGCCAAGCGCTCCGATTCACACTACGGCATCCTTAATGTTATTGTCAGAAGAAGGACAATATGACACTTATGATGCAGCCGGTTCTGGCCAGAATGATTCGAGCGGCCCCAACGGAGACGGGCTAGTGCTAATCCTACATCTTAAACTGTATTCGATGGCAGGGATGTGCGAATGAACTCTCTTCAACCTCGATTCGTCTCTTCTAAACTTCTACAACAATGACAAGAGGCCTAGGTAGCAGAAAATGAGAAAATATGGAAATGAACCATCTTTTGACACTCACACTGGAACTTGAAGCTATTCAGAATAACTTATGAATCTCCTCACACAAGCAAGTCTGCAGAACTGTGGAGATGTCTGATAAAATTAGCGTGGTATAAGGAGCTACAGCCTTCATTTGGAGTCATTCCGTGCTTCGGCTTGATGCAT